CCATGAGAACCATTGGTGATCTCCCCATTATTGTATTACGGTTTGAGGTTTCAGAAATATGGATTTGGCTGGGAGGTCCATGGACCAGGGTTTATACCAAATAAAATGCAAAGGGCGAGAAGGATTCAATGTTGAAGCGGTGAAGTTGCTTTAGAAAGCTTCAATCCGCAAGACAATGACTTAGGGTTTAGCATTACTCTTAGGACACTGGCCTCTCCGACAAGGCAATTCTTTGCCTTACTTCCCAACCTCTTTTTCATCCGTATTATTATATTATTCTTTAGGAAAATATTAGAACTAATGTATCCTCTATGCAAAGATACACGAGAATATACACTAATTCCCATTTCAAAACAAAAAAGCTAAATTAAGACCCGGATTCCTTAACAATTGAGTTGATATAGTTAAGAAAAATCGAATAAGTAACAAATATTTTTTTTGGCAGAAATACTAGATGGTAGAAAATATTCCTTTCTGGCCATATTTTTAACAAGAAACTTCAATCATGAAGAGAGAAAAATATCTACAAAAAAGTAAGTAAAATTTATTATTTCATTGATGTAGTAAAATGAAAGATAAAATAATACTTGTTCTAATCATTAGCATTCTGCATTCCTATTACTATTAGGGAGAAATATTCCCGTACCGTATCTTACCGTAGCGGCAGAGTCAACTTTTGATACTTTGCCAACTTCTTTGGGAGAGAATATTCCACGATCCCAGGAAATCTAGCTCTTCCATCAAACCATCCAATGCTTAGACACTTACCTTTCTGTAAGCAAAAAATATTGCATAAACCCAAATCAAGAAACAATTTCAAGCAACATTTCCGGTTCTCACTTCTACCTCTGAAGCAGACCATGTTGGCTGTACGAAATTAATTGAGGATTTTCTGTAAGCCCTCTTATGTTCTATCTTTAAGTTGCTGCAAAACTAGATATAATCTTCTATATGATGATTTTTTACTTATTTGCGAGTTAATTCAGATCATCATTGCATATATAATTATTCAGAGTAGGTGATTCTGTAGCCTAGGACTACAACAAACAGCTAGGACGTTTCTTGACTACTTTACAGTAAAGAACGAGGGGGTTGAAAGTACGCTATTACTTACCAGGACTGCGATTTAGGTGGGAGGAACATAAGAGCACAGATTCCACAAGGGACAGATATTATACACAAGTTTTCTTGATCAGAAACTTTACATTCTAAAGAGATTGTACCTGGACAATAGAAATTGGACAAATATCATAACTTCAGATACAGCCCACACCAGAGAGAAGCGGAAAAAGCCACATGACAGAAGTTAAGAAACATGAAAATTAAGAGCAAAGCAGGTAGTGGTACAGCAGCAGAGCTCACAAGTAAATGAAAACCAAAACCAAAACGTAACAATTCCATAAACGTCAACTCACATAATTACCATGAGTAGCTGACAGTTTAGAAACACAGTTGGCCGACCACATCTTTCATTGTATAATTGTATCTACTCATTGTCCTCTTTTCTCTCACAGTTAAGGAGCATCAGCTTATGCTTCCAATGAGATAAGCCAAGCGTGTCGTTGCCTATTGAGCACAAACAAAAGAGGACCTGCAAAGCAAATATAAAACTTCCAACAATTAGACTTACTCCTTTGATAAAGAAAATTCAGTTCAACCAATGTACATAAAGAAACACAATTAAACTCTCCTGAATTGCAACATTTGAAAACCTGCAAAAACAGAAAACATATTAAGGACCTCAAGCACTAATAAATCAAGGAAAGGGAAGTTCGATAGAACAAAGAAGGTTTTCATCAGAAAGGATGAAGGGGATTTTTCCTATGCTGTGTTGGTTAGCAATGCGAAGAAACCTGTAGTACCGCACTTACAGAAACCACCCGTGGTGTGTCAGGCTCTGCGTAATGGTAGGACGCTAAAAGCCGATAGTAGCCAAAACAAGATACATAGCTGAATAAAAGCTGCCTAAATATCGTGTCCAATCACACAAAAAAGAAACTAAAAAGGTGCACAAGAAGAGACATCAAACATCGAAAACAAGAAGAAGGAAGTCTGTTAACCTAAATGCGACAGCAGTAAGGTCCATAATAGAGTAGTAGAATTATAAAGTCTCTCCTACATAAGTACTACATAAAGTTCAACAATACTAAGATAAAGCTCTCTTTCAGGCAGGGAGGATGCCTAGATCCCCCTGCTAGAGCAATAGCACAACGTCTCTTATATCATCCATAGTTGTCCAAAAGAAAGAGAAAAGGAAGTTATTCTACGTGAGATAAAGAGCCTCTCAGTCTCTGGAATTGAGGAGATCAACATGGATCTAACTCAAATCCATTCCGTCTCCAGCCGGGCTGCAGATCGGGCTCACAGCAGTAAAAGACCTCTCGAAAGGAGATGCGTGACGGCGACGCTTAAACGAACAGCTCTCAGAAGGATGGCTCTCAGTGTCAAGCTTCCTCCGGACCCCTTTAACCGCCTGCTCTTCAGCCTGTGAGAGAGGGAAAATCCGGCCGCTAGCTCGGCACATAGAGCTATGGTTATCATAGAGAATCCGCTGGTTACAGTTCTTGTCGCAGACATGAGTCAGTCCAGTTAGTTTGCAGCGGTACATATTCCCACAAACATTTTCATTCTCGCATTTCCAGTCACATTTGTGACAATGGATGGGTCCATCGCAATCGCGACCCAGAATTGCAGACAAGTAAATAACATTGGCAGAGCTAACCATGGGAGATTTTCCAAATACCTCCATCTTTTTTTCAAAAGCAAGTTTCTTTGATCTGAAAGCTCCACACAACCTTTATAACTCTGCATGACCCAATAAAGCCGAAGAAACCATCAATATCATCACAAGTGAATCTGAGACACACGTAGATGATAGATCCTTCCACATATAATTCCATTACTTCACAATTTTTAATGCCCAATTACTCCTTTCAAGATCACATGAAATTTCTTCTGCAAAAAGCTATAATCTCGAATCTACTCTTAACAAATTATTGAAAAAGGAAATAAATCAGACTCCGGACTTGATAACTGCTAAGCTCCAGTTACCATAATAATCCATTTCTAAGAGCGATATCGAAATCCAAATTTGAAATGATCAATTTAAAATAGCTAGGCCTAATTGAAGCAAAGTGTAGCTGCAACATATAGCTACCAGATCCGAATGAAGGAGGAAGAAGATTCTCCAGGAAATTGAATTTTTAAGAAGCAAATACACAGAGAAGGAAGAGGTC